CGCACAAATAAGAGATATAAGCAATGAATTTAATGTTGTATTTTTGTGCGATGATCATCACAACACACTGGTATTCAAATACTGTGACGTCACATTCTATTGTCGGCCCTGCCTGCAACCCGAAGACCAAAGTAACGCTGGGCCGACTATTTATACTGTGAATTTTGTCGTCACATTGCTTAGAATATCATATGTCACATTCTTTACTCTTTACGTGACATCTCTCTGCCCTGGATCTGTGTAGTTAAACCGGGCAGATGCATGGGCTGCTTGCGGATCACTACCTTAGTTAATATTTGGCGTTTTGATGGAGGAAAATAAATGAGTTTACGGGCCCGTGCATGGGAGGCGTGCCTTTCCTCAAGACCTGTGTCACGTCGGTTCGGTTCGGCGCGCGTTCGAAGCCGAGGGCGCCAAATCGGAGCGTTGTGTTGGACCCCTTGATTCCATTATTCGCAGTAAAGAACCGTGGCAATTATTTTGAGCAGGCGGTGGTGGTGGATAGGGAAAGGGGGGAGGAGGGAGAAGGGAGAAGGAAGACTGGAGTGGTGAGGTGAGAAAGATAGAAAGATTGTTGGTGTAGTGCTACAAGTCATTTCTACCCAAAAATTGCTCTCGTTCTAATCTTATTTTTACACTGTTCACTTGACTTTGTCAATTTTATGAATTGTTAAAGGCGTACGTCGGGGATCAGCAAGATGTCTGCTCTCCGTTTGATTAGGCCTTTGGGCCGTCGTCTGCATTGTCAACCTTCAGGACAAATACTGCAATGTGTGAAATTCCCACGAGTTCTCTGTGCATTCATATCCAGCAAGGCCAACATGGGTGACTACAAACGACCTCCACCATTTCCTTACAAGGAAGTGGAGTACAACCGTTATTATCAGGTTTTCGACCGAACCGTGGACCGCTTCAATGAGAACACGAAGGTCTTGGTTGTTGATGGGCCCATTGCGGCTGGCAAGTCAACATTTGCCAAACAGCTTGCGGAAGAACTGGATATGTTATACTTCCCTGAAGCTGATCTTGACATGGAGTACATCAATGCCTATGGCTATGATCTTCGTAAGCTTAATCCTCGACTCCCTGTGAAAGCTCAGTTCACAGACATCAGGGACATCTCTCGCAACCCAAAGCACCCAAATGCTGGAGCTGTCCAAATGCAAATGCTACAGATACGATTCGAACAGTACATTGATGCCTTAGCTCATCTGTACAACACTGGTATTTATTTTGTTACGTGCCTTGTACGAGACAGTTCCTGAAAATTTATCTAAGACAATATGAAGATACTTTATCTTTATCTTAACAGGTCAGGGAGTTGTTCTGGACCGGTCGGTATACAGTGACTTTGTCTTCATGGAGGCAATGTTTGATGGAGGGTATATTTCTAAAGAGGGTGAGACTTTTTCAGTATTTACTACTTCAAGGACAACACTATCAATAGCAATGTTCTGAGATTGAAGCTCACATTTTTTGTCTTTTCCAGTTAAGAAGAATTATGATCACCATTTGGAGGGAATCAAAGTTCTTGCCAAGCGGCCTCACCTTGTTATTTATCTAGATGTGCCAGTTAAAACTGTGTTAGAAAGAATCAAGACAAGAAATCGTGATTGGGAAGTCAACTCTCCTTTGCTCACTGAGAAATACCTGACAAAAATGGAAAGAACCTACAAGCTTGAGTTCTTGAGAGACATGAAGTAAGTAAAATTTCTATAGTTTACATACTAGGGAATCATTAAATATTACATACTACCAAGTTCTAACTTGTATTGGTTTTCATGACAGTGTGAGCTCTGAAGTTCTTGTTTATGATTGGTCAAATTTCGGTGAAGTGGATGTTGTTGTTGAAGACATAGAACGACTGGATTTTACTGAAGATCCATATTCCGCTAAGTTTGAAGAATGGAAAATTGAACATGATAGAGAATTGGGTTACGAACGATATGGGTAAATATGCTCATGCATTTTGTTACAAGTTTCTTTCTGTCAATTTAGTTTTAAAATTCTGAGTTGTTACATACATGGTTTGTTCAATTTCAGTTATACATGTGAAAAAGATGTTATGCTTGAAAAAGTTGACCCCGGACATATAGTACCCGAGCTTTTGCTGTCTCATGAAGAGAATCTAATTTTAATGAAATTAAAAAATGAAGTTGTAAGTAAAACCTTAATATTTTTTCCTTGATAATGTTTTAGTTTGAATGTGATACATAACACCTTTAAACTATTTTTATTTCAGGGATGTGAATATGACCCAGGTTACAATCCTAATCAAGGAGACAGTGTACTATTTAAGTGGTAGTAGTTTGTTTGCATAAATTTTAAAGCTGCTGGTTCTGTGAACTTCAAGTGTATAATTCTGCCTTGTAAATAATAATTGTTAATTAAACATCTGGAATGTCATTTTAAAAGAACTTTGACCAATAGCTGCTGATCAAAGAAACAAATACACACCATTAATAGAAATAGCAAACTTTATTTGTTATCTCAAATAGGAGATGTGTCGTATCAATTCTCCTAATAACTCTTATAAAGCAAAACTTTCATGAATTCATGGAATATTGTTGATGATTATAATTTGAATTGAAATGTTAAGGATCTGTTAAAAATGAAAAAAAAGGAAAGAGACACAATGGTTAGATGCATTCACATACATTGGGCTGATAATGGACAAACTTTTATTATATTTCCAACTAGGTTTACCCAATTACTCACATATACACATTGTTAAATAATAGGGAAGAAATAATATTGCTAAACAATTCCTGATGATGGCAAATTGGCAGATTTGAGCAATTGCAGAAGAAAAGTTCAACAAATATTTATTTTTTTTAATTTGAAAGTTATGACTAGAGATGGAAGCACAAAATGTGCCTTTACACACCCTTCAAAAAAAGGGGGGGAATGACGCCTATCAATTGAATGAGATACATGAATGTAATCCCATTATTGAAATTGATCACATAGCATCTTTTATTTGTGTTTTGATGTAAGAAGAGGAGTACATTCCGCTGGCCTGTCCCCTGAATTCTGATGAGTTCCTGTTCCTGACCCTGATGCTGATCCTTGCCCCGAGGATGGTAAGGGACCCTCCTCTCTAATGCCAGCCATTTCATGGTGCGGCCTTTGCCATAGTGCTCGATTAGCACTCTCCCTTTCTTGGTATCCTCTTCTTCGAAGCTGGGGACAAAAAATATGTTATAATAGCTACAAAGGTAATAATGTAACAGGATAGGACAGGAGACTTACATGTCTATGGTGAACTTCATGAAGTAAGAGAGTGCTCAAACTCATATCGGTTGCAGTTAATTCTCCTTCAACTGGCTCTGAGCTAAACCCAGATCCTACTCCTGAGCCAAAGACAGATGCTCCCAATGAAATAGCTGGAGGAAGTCCTCTGGGAAGACTGAAAAACGGAATTAGAATAAATTTATCCTACAAGGCCCTTTAAATTTCATGGACTGTTCTTAAAAGAATTACCTTAACTGATATGGTCCTTCAGCTCTACTCAAGCCACCTCGCACAGCAACTGATGCTGCTTCACCAACTGACTGTGAAGCACTGGGAGACATAGGGGCTGGTATTTGACTGCCTCTTAGGAAACTTGTCAGCATAATACTAGCCTGTAAAAAGATAAAATAAAATAGATCTCAGTCATTAAAAGAGAGAGAACAAAAGAAATCTGGGAATAATGAACATTATTTCCATTTATTTTGTACCTCAGGGCCCAGGGATGAACCAGAGTGAAGTTGAGCTGCATAAGCAGAATAGGCAGCGAATGGAGCATACATTGGACCGCTTTCTCCTGCAGCATCCCTCTTGGCTTGGTGTCTAAATGCATCAACAAAACTCTCTGCATCTGGAGGAGGTTGCCAGTGTGGGTTGGTCATCGTGAAGTGCACCAAAGATAATTCGGTTTTCCCGTCTTCAGCCTTAAAACAAGAATGCAAAGGTTAGTGTCAACTGTGTTTGGTACTCATTCCATATCAGTACTGTTAAGGGTAGTACAGTAGGTTAATATTAGACTATGTTGGAAAATAAAGGTTTTACAACTTCACAAAATTGAGCTCTACAATCATACAGAACATTCTACTAAAACTAAATAAAGATAGAACACTAAAAATGTACGTATACATTATGATCTCAAGACCATTGCCAGAAAGTCTTTCTTAGATTATGAACAATAGAGTTATACTGCTGGAAAAAATCTATTTAGAATAGATACATCATAAACATATCAGGGCAGCTAGCTGCGTCCAAAAGCGTGAGTTTCTTGGGTGACAGCCCTATGCTGTTAGCATCAGGCGCGGATTAAGGGGGGGGGGCGATCGCCCCCCCCCCCCGTCGTCTCTAGAGAGCCGCCTGAAAGGTAGGCAATTTGCGACATAAACCCCCTGTATGTAGGCAACCGACAGTGCATCGCCCCCCCTGTCAGCCGGACCTTAATCCGCGCCTGGTTAGCATAGCTGAGGCACCCAAGACAACCAATGAATCTAGACACAGTTCAAAGCTCTATCTTCCAGTTAAATTAAGGAAACAACTACTGTATTTGAAAGAAAATAAACCTGTCAACTTTTTCAGATTTTAAATTATGAATAATGAAGGGCACATGAATACTTGTTCTTTATACATTAAAAACGAAAATGGGTAAGAAGGGTAACAAATATGTAAAATAAGTCAAAAGGACTGGTTTCTATGGAAATAATTTTTAATGATGCACCACTAACCTGAGTGTACTGATTAGAAGCACATGGTACTGCTTGTTCCCCAATACTAGTTGGCATGACATAGGCAGTTGTTTCAGATGGTCCAGCTGGCTTTTGAACCCCTGTGCCACTTGTTTGCCATGTTGGATTGCCATGACGTCTAACATCCATCTGGGCAAAAGAGCACACATCTCCAACTCCAACAACTTCTACCGTGAAATTACGATAGAAATCAACGAATTCCAGAGCTCTGGATCGTGTATGAAACCACAGCACATAGGGAGTCAGTATGGGAGATAATAATTCTTCAAAAAGATTGATCTGCACAAGGAACAAACTCTTAATATTGTGTTTCCACTAACTACGCCAACAATTAGTAAGATGTATGACTCCTTACCGCTCGATAGGGAAAGAGTTGAGAAAATTTATCTCGAACACTATTTTTATGAGCTCGTCCACGCCAATCATCAGGCAAATAATGAACATGTGCAAGAACTGCTGTCATGAGCGTTTCTGGACACCACACAACATTCTCATCAGGTATTAAAGCTCGGCATGCAGCAACTACAGCTGTCAAACTTGTGATGATAGTGAGCACATGCTCAACTGTCAAAGTATCTTCATCAATGAAACTCAATACTACTAAAACGGCAAGAAATGCTCCAGCTACAAACATGATGTTTTTGGCAATCACTGTCATTAATGGAGATGTGAAAATATTCATATATTTAGAGGCAGGACTGTATGCTCTGTTCAGACGTGCATTCAGTTCATGATCTAATTCATTGAAGTGTCGTAAATATAAACGACCATACTGTGACCAACACCTTAATCCAAGGCTACCTGGCTCACGCTTAATTATCTGCAAAGGAAAGTCTGAATGTATCATGGGTTCTGTTAAAGATCTTTTCTGATTTTTAAGATCCCATAAACAAATATTAAAATTATGAAAGTGAACAACATTACCTCAGCATAGGTGAAAAAACTGTACAGTATCTGCCAGAGTAATATGAGAGGACACAGCAAGAGATTTGCCAAAGCCAACCACATAATGTGCTTGCTCAATGCAGCAGCCAACTCATGACGTTTAGCAGCTTTTCGGTAGTCCTCTTTCAAGTGCCAGCTATTCTCAAAAGGCGCCCAGGGGCCCCCTATTGTTGGAGATTTAAGTTGAAGTTGAAAGTAACCAAACAAATTAAATAGCAAATGCAGAGGTTGTGAAAGAAATGTCAAAGAAAAATATCATAAATGATACTCACAAAACAGCAACAATTCAAGATTATATTTCAGACCATGGGTCAAGAAAACCACTTCACCAAGCAAAGGAACTTGCAGCCTTGGTGGTAAAAGTGATTTGTTCACCATTGCAACCATATAATTCTTGAACCTGTGAAAAGGTAACAGGTGAAGAATACCCAACCTGACACAAATGGGTTGTTTATTTCAAATGATAGTTATTTTACCTCAAAATACGATGGTAAATATCTAGTTCTGAGAGGTCCGTTTTGTGTATGCACATTTGTTGTTCTTTCTGTACTTCACGTACTCGTCTCTGAACTTCATGCCATGTTAAATTATCCAACTCATTCTGGAAAATAAACTTGCTGCAATAAATACTGGAATAACCAAAATAATAACATCTTTAGTTAAAATACTTACATCACTAATTTTAAGGGCAGTGTTAAAGAAGCATTTTATATCCCAAAATTGAAAAATGTGGCAAACAACTTTAAAAACTCGCAAGAACCAGAAAATTAGAGCAATACATAGACAAACCCAGGTGCTGAGACTGAAAGAACCAACACACTGAGCAGTTGGAATAACTGCATCTCCAAGAGATACTTTTGAGATATTTGTTTTTTTGTATGGATCCAATTTATCTCTGTAAAATAGTCAAGTTATTATAAATAACATCTTGCCAGTGGAATAAAGGCCAAAAACAGTGATACTTACTTGAACAAAATAGGGTAATCAACACAATTTAAAAGAAAAGTGGAAAATATCACAACAAAAACAAACTGAAAGAGTTCTAACACCTCTTGCAGCATCATACATGCAAATCCATGTTTCTGATGATAGTGGTACATTCGAGTAAAAAAGGCATCTAAATCTTCCATATGATTCCATCGAGCTGTAACAATATAAGTTTACTTAACCACACTAAAACTCTGTTTTTGATTGCAAAAAAACTGCTGTCCCAACATCATTGTTGTGATCTCAGAGACGATGAGGGTCACAAATTTAAGTAATTAAAGCATAAAATGATTAGCGGTGGGCTCACCTCTGCTACTCTCAGGTACCACATGAATCATAACTCCACTGTCATGAGGAGTTTCCTCTATGTCTCCTAACTCACTCCCAAAGGCCTGTAACGGTTGATAGCTTGCCTCCAACGTCGTAGTCATTTTGGATCCTGCAATAATAGAATTATATTAGAAATATAATAGTTTAATATAAAATTCGAATGAGGGAAACTAAAACTAGCTTAATTCAAATTTTCTGGTAAATCACCCTTTGTTCCAAAATTAGTAACTCTGAGGAAACCACACCGTACAGTAGTATAAAAGATTTTTATATTTATTGCATCAAACAACTAAATTTATGAAAGGAGAATGGTACAGAAAAATTACAAGTTGCATGTTAGTAACAAAGTTTTGTTTTGATTTTCAAAACAAAAATGATTTTGTTACAGGGCATCTTGATATCATCCACTTGTAACTTCAGACAAGGAAGAGGCACTCAATGTTTTAGAATACAAATTGGACAGATCACTTCACCCTTTGAAAATTAGGAATTGAACGAAATCGGTCAAAGAGTAGTACGCAGCGAGGCCGTAAATAAGTGCTCCCCATCACACAACGGCTGACAGCTGATTTTCGTAAACACAAAGTCTGCCACTAACCTTGAGACTATCGTGTTAACACAAAGACCCACCTCTCTTTTAAGATACAACGATTCAATTTGAAATTAGGAGATGCCTCTTGAGGCGCTGCAGCTACATTGTCGTGCTTTAGGGAGTTATCACCATCTTTTTGCAAAGATTGCTACTCAAAAATAAATTTCTGCTGAGTCTAGGATATCTTGTTATTTGTTTCGAACCTTCTTTCCCCCTCCCCTAGTCTTTCCCCCTCCCCTTTTGTGCACTTTCCTGTGGTTACACTGCCTTTAGATGAGGGATTGGTTATTCACACACCTCCCGGATAATGGCGCTGGAGGGGGATTACGGAGCTCCCTGACTTCGGTTCGCCTGCGCCTTCTAAACGCCCTGAAACAGGGTGAGGGGGTGGAGGGGGGGCAATTAGAAGGCGCAGGCGAATCGCAGTCAGGGAGCTCCGTAATCCCCCTCCCGCTTTTAAATTGAAATTTTAGTGTGAGTGACTTTTTGCTTTTTGGGAGTGCTGTTTGAATATATTTTGGAGGGGAGGCTGGATTCCTGATGTTATCTTAACCATTCTAACCGTCACAATAGCTAGCGTGAGATAGAACAAGCAGTGCACTCGAAAACAACCTCTCTTATTGATTCATCACTTGAGCAAAACCTAGCATTCTTTAGTATTGTAGTTTCCAAGCTGAAAGTGTGGACTAGATTACACCATATCAAGCACAAGATTCGCTCTTTCACCTCCATAAATGAAAGAGTAAACACGAAAAGAACAAGTGAAAAATAAATAATAAAAAATATCTACATCAACACTTCTGGTTGTTGAGATAGATAGATTACTGCCTTTATCTGTTTATCTCTTTGAATGGACACTGACTGGTGTTATTACTTGTTATTATAAACTTAGATGGTTGTGAATGAGGTAGGAAAACAATCATTTTAATGACTCAGGTAAATGATGTTATGTAATTGTATCACAATAAAAGATCCTTCGATGGCAGTGCTCAGTTACTTTTATTTAGCTAAGAAAACCAAAACGGAAGCACCAAGTACCAGACAGACTCAGAACCCTTCCGGACTATCATATCATGTATCTAACCCACATCAGATAATTAATAATAATTAATAAATATTCTGGAAGACAAAAGTTTTGATTTATTTTTTTTATTTTTTTGTAAAAAATTAAATGTGAAGCAGCAATGGGTTTTCCAACTCTGATATGCTATCTTGTTTGACAACCAGACCGAATATAACAGAGAGACTAATAACATTTCATCAATCCCATCAAAACAAAATCTGCTGAACTTCACTATTCAAACATGGAATTATACTTGGCACATTTTAAATATAATCTATTCCTAATATGTAACAGAAAAAAAAAGATAGTGGATCTTGTTTTACCACAACCAAGTAGGTACTAGCAAATTAAATTCTTCATGATACATCTAGTCTGCTCCAAAAAGGAGCAAGTTCCTATAATTATATCACAGGATAGGGAACAAGAATCAGTGCTTGTTCCATTTGCTCCTCCTAAATTGGATAACTGTTACAATTCACAACTAGATAGATAGATAGATATCAATTAACTAATGGCTGAAGGTCCATTAAAACATAACATACACAATGACATTACATCAACCGTTCAAAAATAAATAATTTAGTTTTATGCTACAACCCTTAACTACATAAAGAACAAATAGTATCACAAAAAAGATGAGAGATATCCACAAATATAGTGGTTAATGATCTTTTCAGGTCATACTGGTGAAAGCTTTAAAAATACAGCACAAATGTGACAATATTTATTTTTTTGTGCTCTGGGAAATAAAGCTTGCCCGTAAAATGGACTTGGAAGTAGTTTTGATGGTCTTCTTGACTTCACGCAAAATTAGACACATGACTGACTTGAAGTGCACAGGAAATTTTGAGGACGTACACATCATTTTACATTCAGAAATGCAGTACAAGAACAGGCAGTTTCAACCTTGTGAAAGAAGGTGTCCACCAATTAAGTGTCACAGTATAATTAACCTAACATATGCATTTTTCTTTGGCAACCTTTTTTTTACTGGAAAGGAACAAAGTCACAGTTTTTCAACTAGTAAAATGAACGAGGGAGAGGGGGGCTAAAATCATACACACATCATCATTGCAACACTTCTTAAGCAACGTAATGAGTACTAATATGTCACAAGATAAAATGGAAGCAATAGTTTTCAATATTCAGTTTAAAGAGAAACAGAAAATTTGGAATGGTCTACGTTTATGACAATTTCTAAGAATCATGGGTAAAACTCACAGCTAGAATGTCTGTTTTCTCTTTAGCAAGTGTTTTGCTAGAATAAGCTAACATCTGCAAAAATGCTTACAAGTACCCAGGTACAAGATTTGCAAACATTGTGCTGTAATTAAAGAGAAAAAACATGTTGTATCAGGAACTATACGGCTGAGGGACCAACCAATGCGCCCATGTACAAGATTTCCGCCCGCATGTCCAAACTACCACCTGGTCTAGAACTTTGACAAAATATCTAATAAATTACTGAAGAAACCGTTTCTAGTGTACAAAAAGAATACTTTTGAAAACTGAAAGTGAGGCATGCTATTGGGGGCAAAAGCACAGCTACACATAATCAAATAAGTTTTACAAAAAAGTATATAACATTTCAAGGTATAGTTGAAGAGAACAAATTAACATTTCCTAACAGCATCATAAATTAATTAACTAACCAACAATGACTATGTGACCATAAACAAAAGTATTAGACCTTAGAACAATATCTACCATATCCTAATATCTCTCTATACTAACATGCCTCAATCCGATTTTTTGTCTGGGTTCTTCACTCTTGTGCCAAGTAACTGTACATGAGTATCACGTATAAAATGAAAAACTCTCTGGTAAACAATGGAAAACAGTTTACCTAAGGGTACCATAGGGGATTCATACTCATTAGGGACTATACCATCAACCTGAAACACCATTCACATCAAATTTAATTTAACATCACCGAAAATAATTACATTTTTCACTCAAATCTAATAAAACATTAATATACTTACAGATGATTCAAAAAAGCTGAAAAGGGGAAACCATATACGAGTACGATTTGAATCCCTCATCATAAGTGAACGGTTGTTGGCTAGTGTATGGTAATACAGAAATAGCCTCGAGGTTATGTAGAATGCAATAAAGACATCAATGGAATAATGTTCATGTGCTGCCAGTATAAAGAAAATTCCAAACATATTAAGCATCCATGTAAATGTGTGAACGAAGTACATGTGGCGAGGAGTATCTGTGGAAGCAAAATTTCACATATTAGAACATAGAATGAGAAACCATTTAGCTGCATTCATAATTAAGAGACTCACATTCTGTAATGAAAAAGTTCAACATAGTTAGTGCTACAGTATGTCCACTAAACATGTAGTCACCACATGTTCTAACGCCTTGAATGGACATGCCAGCTCCACGCCAAATTATGTAAGCTCTTTGGATCTTCCGAGACAGTGATGTATACATTTCTTCTGTAAACAATGTAAAATAGGGATACACGTTTATAAAATTTTAGTTCTTACAGATGAAAGAACCATTGTGTAAAATAAGTATGTAATATGTCATAAACTTATCTTTGCCAGTCCTCATCAACACTAGGATTGCATTGCAAGTGTGTACCAGGCACAGAAAGTGATGTAATGAGCATTGTGACACAACGAAGTAAAAATACAGTGCCAGATAGGCAAAAGAAGCGGCGGAGTAAAATGAACCTGCAATAGTGCAAATTGTTGGTAAAAAGTTGAATACAATCCATTTTTACCGTTAAATCTCTTACCTGTGCTTATGGAAGGTTAAAACTCCAAGCCACACAATGAGTAATAGTGTGCCAGTGAGTTCACACATACTAAATGCCCAAGGTATGGTAGGAACATTGTCTAGAAATATATCTGGAAGGGGAGGATATTTTTTCATATCTGGGACTCTATCATGAACAACTACCATAACAAATGCTGTGATCCATGTCACAACAAACAAGTAAAATAAGCTAAGAAGTGTTTTGCCTATCTCAGGAGGTAGGCCATGATTCTCAACTTCAGAGTCACTTGGAAAATGAGAGCCAGTTCGCTCCAAAATTTCTGAAAGTGATGGGTCTTTGCTCTGCAAATTGTAGGATTTTCATTAGATTAGATTACTAAAATTAAGATGAAATAAGTAAGATTAGGTCAAACAGATGATATGCATACAATTAATCTCTCTTTGATTGAACGTAGAGAACAAAGAGGATAACATCCAGTAGTTCCTTTAGGAAATTGGAAAAGTTCGCTTAAATCATAACCCATTTGAACAATGGCATTACTATGTTCCAGTTGAAGCTGTCTTATTGACAAACTTAGCCGCTTCAAATCCCCTAAAGCCTGTCGGGAGAAAGTAATGAAACAAAAAGAGTAATGAAAAAGACGTTGGCATGGCCTCAATTTCATAATTTTACTGAGCCCGACCTGTATTCCAAGTGAAGAAGACCGAAGATCAGATTCTGTCAGGAGCAATAAAGCTTTACCATCAATTGCATGCTGATCACAAAATAGATATGAGAATTTACTGTGATTATTTTCCTTGAGCCATTCTTTGACATGTTCACCTGTCCATTGAACTGGTGATATTTCTTTGAAGTCCATTTTATGATAAGTGCTATCTGTAAACAAGTTTGAAATCAAAGATTACAAGTCGAGAAACAAAACACTGTAATTGTGGATAGTCTCATGAGGTGAGGCAACTCACCTCACCTGAGGTAAGTACCCAACTTGGCAAGCCAATCACAGCCCTAAAAACTCTAAGGTGAGGTGTACCTCATGAGACTAAATCCACAATTAAAGCCACAAAATCATTTTAAATGCAAAAATCTCACACACAAAATAGATGCCCAGCAATTAAATCAAAACAACATCACATGCAACAATGCAGCTTTAAACCTTAAGTTTCAAAACAGATAAAAAAGCTTTTCATGAACATTTTCTGTATGACATTGGTTTGTTTGACTATAAAAGGGCATAAAAAGACCCCATGCAGGTTAGATATGACGCTTCTCACAAAACTGAGTACATTCTCTTAGCTTCAAACTTACAATTCCATATGACTAGGGAGCAAGGAACCAAAAAAATGGGGAAGTTTCCTTACGGGACTTTGATAAAATCTGACTTGGTTGCATTTAGTTTTCCTGCTGCAGCAAGCCACTGGCTCCTGTTGCTTTAAACCCTCTTGAGGGCACGCGTAGACGGGGACAGCCCTTGGTGGTTCTACTGCTGATAAATGAGATAACTGTCAATATCTTCGTTCTCTACTCAGAATCTTAAAAAGTTGCCATGAACACAAGATAGACAAAGATAGCAAAGATAGCAAAGGTCCAGCTGTACAACGATCATCACCATGTAAACAAGTGGTGTAGAAAGATAAAGCACGATATGGAAAACCTACACCTCGCCACACCCCACTGAAGGTGGGTGGTCCATACCAAAGTTTTGTGAGGATCAACTATATAAGAGCAGCGGACACTTGCAGTCCTGCCAAAACTCAAACACAAAGAAAATCAAAGAAAAGAGCTGGACCGGGGTGTTGGTAGTCTGTAAAGGCGCCTCAAGCAAGACAAATCAAATAAATTCCAACTACGAGTCTCGAAAAGTGCTTAAATTGATGCTTGAAATTTTTGTGTTGTGTTTTTCTCATCATTAAAACGAAAAGTTGGGCCCTGGAACATCAAAACACTGTGCAATGCTATAACGCCAACTTCTGTTAGCAGTTCCAGATGAGCATTGAAAATATGAGGAGATAAAGGTTAAGCTTTCCTTGATTCTTACATTCTTGAAACCTTTTTACCAGTTATTTTTATCATTAATCTTTTTACTATGGATACTACTACTTACTGTAAGTACTAAATCAGGTTTTAGTTGTTTAATTAAATAGATTAGTCTTATTTATAATATGCCATATTTTAAAAGCATTAAAAATTTATGTTTGATATTTTTCAGTTGTGGTGAAGCAACTTTTGTATTATTATTGATAAGAATGAGTGGGTTTCCGACTTCTGGACGTGGTGGCCGAGCCCGCGGTCGAGGATATGGTGGTGGACAGTGGAGAGGTAGGGGGAACAATTGGAGAGGAAGAGGAAGTAGAGGAGGCAGAGGTGGATGGCGAGGTAACTCAAGTTTTGTTGGATCGTTTACAAAAGATAATTTATGTCATTTCACTTTTCTTTTCCTTTTATGATCCTCTTCTAGGAGCTCAGAGTCAAGGTGCTGGCAACACCAACAGTCATAATAATTCCAATAATGACAGTTTTCAAATAGTAGCTCAGAACTCTCAATCATCACAGCAAAGAATAACATCCCTATTTGACATTGTACCTGGCCCTTACAGAGGCTGGAAGTTATATTTTCATCTGGAAGGTATTTTAAATTGTGTATTGGTGTGAATTGTACTTCATTACGAAACTTGCCTGTGAATATTTTCATTTTTAAAGGGTATGCAGAAGGATCAACGACAGTTAAAAAAATTAAAGCAGTAGAAACATTTATCAAAAAGCACCGTCGAATGTATCCTCCAACCGAAGTTGAAGAGAGGCGATCGTATGCCCTTGATATTAAACTAATATCTTCTGATGAGAACTTTAAAACTGAGTGGCCCACTTTCAAAGATGATCTTGAAGATGAGCCAGAACATAGCATAGGCTGCTTGGGGCTCGGAATGCATCAGGTCATTAAAACAAATAATGTATGTCTGTTATGAGTCCACTTTGGTGTGCATTACTGACCGGTCTCATTTTCTAAACTTTGTAGGTGGTTTTGTTAGCTTTGGAAGAAGAAGCACGTGCTCAACTGACCGATCTTGAGAGAGCTCAACTACCCCCCCACAATCTTGCTGCCATTCGAGCAAGGATTCTAAATCATGAACCAGTTCTACAGCTAAAAACTTTAAAATCAAACTATTTTGGTGAGTACATATGTCATTTATTTCTTATTTTTATTAGAAACATTACTTAAAACCTTCTTTCTCTACAAGGTAAACTTGTTTCTGTGCGGGGGACTGTTATTCGTGTTGGTAATTTAAAATTGTCATGTGTTTGGATGGCATTTTCCTGCAATACGTGCAGTAGTATTCAGTGTGTACGACAACCTCAAGGAAAGTATACTTTGCCTACAAAATGTAGTTCTGATGGTTGTCGGGCTCGTTCCTTTGCTCCAAAGCATGCCTCTCCTTTTACTCAAACTGTAAACTATCAATCAATCCGGCTTCAAGAAATTTCTGACGATGAACATAGAGAAGGTGGCCGAGTACCAAGAAGTGTAGAGGTAGAGCTCATGGAGGACCTGGTGGACTCGTGTGCGCCGGGTGACGTTGTCACTGTAACAGGTATTATAAGAGTAAGTATTACCATTATTAGGTTGGAGATAAGAAATATTCTTCCACAATACCCATTTTGTTTTCTTGTGTATATAGGTTCATAATACAGAGGAATCTTCTAATAAGCAGAAAAATTCCAGTATGTTTCTACTTTACATTGAAGCTGCATCTATAATGAACAACAAAAAAAATTCTGCAGGTGGAAAAAGTTCAGTTGGGGTTGAGTTTAACTTGAAGGATTATTATGCAATACAAGTAAGAGCTATTCTCCTTTTTTTTTTAAATCCAATTTCTCTTGTTTATTTATATGTCTTATTAATTATTAAGAATCTAAGTATCTATCTATTATCAGGAAATACATGCCGAACCAGCACTGTTCCGTCTTCTTGTAAACTCACTTTGTCCCATGATTTTTGGACATGAGATTGTAAAGGCAGGCCTTCTTCTTGCGTTGATAGGGGGAGCGCAGTTTGCAGGACGTGATAGTAGAAGTGACTCTCATATTTTGGTTGTTGGTGATCCAGGCCTTGGGAAATCTCAAATGCTGCAGGCATGTGCTAGCGTTGCTCCTAGAGGTAACTAATTCCACCTCCTCTACCTGTTGAGAAAGTTCTTCAATTAAAAGTGATACTTTATGGCTCTTTTTGTACAGGTGTTTATGTTTGTGGCAATACCAGCACTACATCCGGTTTGACTGTAACCCTTTCAAGAGAAAGCGGTGGAGATTATGCTCTGGAGGCTGGTGCCTTAGTCCTTGCTGATCAAGGCAGTTGCTGTATTGATGAATTCGACAAAATGTCCACTCAACATCAAGTATGGTTACATGCATTGTATACTTAGGAAATGTTTGCTGTAGGAATTTTGAAGTAGTGTTGTGAGCTTGGAATATTTCTATCTCAGGCCCTGTTAGAAGCAATGGAACAGCAAAGTATTTCTATTGCCAAGGCTGGTGTCGTTTGTTCTTTACCAGCAAGAACCTCAATCTTAGCTGCAGCCAATCCAGTTAGTGGCCATTACAACAGAGCTAAAACTGTGTCTGAAAACCTTCGTATGGGCCAAGCTTTACTTTCTAGATTTGATCTTGTTTTTATTCTAATGGATCAGCCAAATGAAGTGAGAATTTTGAATAACTTCTACCTTATGTACATTTGATTCCCAGCCACCATAATTCAATATCTGTTATTTTTCAGCACCTTGATAATCTTCTCTCTGAGCATGTAATGGCTCTTCACTCTGGTTTTGGTTCTCGGGGTAGTGTTAGCGGTGCCTCATCTAGTCAGTCTAAAACAAATGTTGCTGGAGATGGAGAGGTACCATTAAGGTAGTTAATGCCACACCATCACTTGGAACTATTTAGTGAAGGGAAAACTAGTAAGAAACATTATGTCATGAAACTTCTGCATTTCAAGAAATTTAGTGTGGCATGACCACTATATTGACATACACTCCCATCTGAAATAATTGGGATTAATTACTGCGGTGCCATAGCATTGTGCACAAAGATCCAACTTTATGTGTTGAACAAAACTCTCTCATTTAATCAATAATCTTTTTCTGTTTTAAAAAAATTGCAGTGAGCGCCTAAGATTGTACGCCAATGAAACTTTTGACCCAATTCCACACCAGTTACTTCGGAAGTATATTGCCTATGCACGGAAATATGTCAATCCTACTCTTTCTGAAGATGCAAGCGCTGTTCTCAAGCAATTTTACCTAGACTTGAGGAAGAAACACCACACTGCTGACTCTGCTCCTGTAACAACAAGGCAACTCGAATCACTAATTAGATTGACTGAGGTACCTTGGGATTTTACTGTGTTATTAACCCGTGGTTTTCTAAAACTTCTAAACAATTTCTGAAAACTATTATTATTACTTTTTTAGGCCAGAGCTAAGTTGGAGCTTCGTGAAAAGGCCACTTATCAAGATGCCTTGGATGTAGTGGAAATATTTCGTTCTAGCTTAGTTGACTCATTTGCTGATGAACTAGGTACACTTGATTTTAATCGCTCTCAAAATGGATCTGGCATGAGTAGCAGAAACAAGGTAAATATTTATGTCTATGTTTTGTTAACTACTTGGTGAATTTTCTCTAATCTGACACGTGAACGCAGGCTAAAAAATTCATTGCTGTATTGCAACGTCGTTCTGAACTGCAATCAAAATCTTTGTTCTCTGCTGCTGAAATGCGTGAAGTAGCTCAAACTTGTGGTGTCATGGGTGCAGATTTTTTTGACTTTGTTAATACTCTGAATACACAAGGATTTCTTCTTAAGAAAGGAAATCAGACATATCAGTTAGTTTCAGCTGGTCATTAATATAAAATGCAATCTTCATGCAACTGGTATTTTATTCTAGTTTTACCATTTTTTAAATGTTATTTCATTAATGAGGGTGCTCTATTTTTATTTTATTTTTGTTCTATTTTTCAACTACTCCCATAGATATATTTTGATAAAAGGCATTAAAATAATTTTCTTGAAATATATTTGATTCTTTTATTACAAAAATGTACAAATCACTATTATTTTACCTTTGATGTTCAAAATTTACATAAACCTTACATATCAATATCTTAATTTATCCACAGCCATTTAAATATTAGCAGAACCTCCAGTGCATAATCTTAGTTTGATTTGGAACCCCCTGTGCTGAAAGAGTTGCTAGGCACATCATTTTGTGTTAATTGAGATTTTGGTACAGAAAAGGCTGAAATTGTAGATCGGGGCAAATGAGAGGGAGCTGGAGACTTTGCCATTTGTGTTGTCAGTCCAGAATTGTGTGGAGAACTGTTTGTAGATTTACCATCGCCATCTCTTCTCTCCCTAGCTCTTCTGTTTTGAAACCAAATTTTGACCTGTAACAAAAAATAATCTAATTTATTGAAAACATCTCTGCAATAAGCTTACACTTTTAATTGTGGAAGCAGCCAAACATTTTGTGTACTGGAGACTTCCAGCTAGCCCTGATTACCCCCTGAAAAAGTAGGCAATTATTTATGCTACTGGACCCCTGCGTGCGGGCAATCCACTGCACATCGCCTCGGTAAAGCCCGGGCATCGTATCAATTTTGTCAGTGTAATCTCCTTGATGCACACTCAAAACAAAAAAACAACAACTGTAATTTCCCTTGACATAATGTTAGAATTTATCTGAATTCAGTTTAGGGCAATTTATTCAAGGAATCGGTTTGTTGTATAAATCATCAAGTGCGTCTCCTGCACCTAAATGATTACGAACTTTCGTTGAACGCCGCGAAAAGTCTAGTGCCACTAGACTAGAAAAGCCCTTAGACTTCCCCGCCCCTTTGTCAAAGCTTCCTCCGGCCCTTCCGCCGCGCTGGGGCAGAAACTGGACAGTAGGGAAGGGCGGAGCACGGTCGAACGAGCAAGACACCAGGACACACCAGGACCAGGAACCTGGAGGAGCCAGGCGCGCCTGTAGAGGCGGCACGCCACCTCACAAGGGCTGCACCACTCACCCAATCACCGCTCATTGATTCTTCAACGACGTCATAATTTAACAGAGTATCTCATTTCGGCGGCACAGAGCGGTGTGGCGGTATGGGCGCACCGCGGGGACTATCAAGTTTCAGCCCCAAAAGAAAGGCTTTGGAAAGAGAGGGGGAGGGGGACACTCAGAGACACCGGCACCTCCGCTACTTGATCAGGAATGAAAAAAACGAAAATAAAAGTGGGGACGACACATTTTGGCTTGGCTGTCGTGATACTCTCGCTCACCCCATGCGTCACAGCGATCTCACATCACCACTCGATTTGGAACTTTCTAGGGGGATTGCCGAACTATCACGCACCATCACAATCTAAATTACAATGAAGAAACTTGACTTTACCTGTGCCGTTGTTTTT